CAAAAGGATAATGCTGTCTGGTCATCGTGTCGAGAATATAATATATGTTAACATTGTATTTACAAACTACTATATCGAACGATATTGATTTAATTATTGCGGAACTGCCGACGCGAATAACTACGCGTTGTAAAACACGTAAATAAAATGATTTAATCTCAATAGGTATACCGTCTAAAAAAACTGTCATGTGTTCGAACGTTGAGCGGTGAACAAACGTCGAATTTAGCAGAAATTAGAATTTTAATACGGATATGATATGTAATTTATAGTATATCAGATTAACTGTAAACAATCCAGTTTATACAATAATATATAATATATATAATAGGATGATTAAGCAAGCTCACCTTATTTGTATTTTATTTATGTATATAGGTGTTTGAATAGTGCTCCACTAAAATACTACTCTCTCCTAGCCTAAACTTAAGTATGGAATATCAACTCGTGAACGAGATGACGGAAATCAAAAATGTCAATACCAACATTTATTTTAACTATTACTCCATCTATTTATGAAACTTTTATTGAGGGTTCTTACTTGAAAAACCAAAGTTGGTATCACCACATACTCACACATACACCTACAGATACTCTTTAAATGTTGTGAAAAACCTAAGTATACGAAACTATCGTTTTTAAGTACACCTAAAATTAAGTATTTAAATATATGCATTATTATGCCTAAAATTATCCCTAAAAAAGAGATAAAAATGTGTAATGAATCACCATGTATTATTATGTGCAATTTTTTTCCGCTTCCAGTGTAGTCATTTTTTCTAAGAATTTTAACTACCAGGAAAATATCACGTCACTTATCTTTATCTTATTACACCAATATTATTTTAAATTTGTTTTACCCAATGCTAACATACAGTGAAGTAGATCTTTTTTATATGTCCTTTACCAACAACTTCCTACGACTACATCAAGTATTGGTCTACAGAATTTCTACAGAATTTCTTCTAAACTATTTATTTTTTTTAAAGGCCACCTCTACCTTTCCCGTCATTCGTGTTGTCTACACCGGAATGAGTTAATGATGACAAAAATAATTATCTTTGAACTATCATAGTTATAATGCGCACCTTTGGCTCGCCGAATGTTGGATCAGTATATATAATAAATTATAATAAAAACTGAGAGCTCGGGAAATGTACTCGTATGGTATAAAAAAAAATCTTTAACAAGAGCACTGGTGATGGCATGTTGAGTGGAATACTATAATAATATTTTTATTTAAAAACGTCACAATAAAATTTGAGTTATTATAATTTTATTTTGACACATTGAATGGCTAAATTTACTGTTGCAGTATAATAAAAATATAATATATATATATCAATGTTTCAACCTTTCGTTTATTTCCTGTTTAGTATTATTTATAATGACGTATTCGTGACACTATTCGGATAAATTAAATTTATTCGTGTAAATCAAAAATACCTATTTGGTTATTGGTCGTTCTTACTTCGCAATAGCAATAGCATTGTATTTACAATTTTACTATATCCGAAATTATTGGGAAATCACATTGCAGTTCTTTTATCCTTACAATAATAATAATATCGATTTCTACGAGCTCGACATAATATAATATTCCCTAACCCTTTGCAGATACGATACGATATGAATATATTATAATATTTTCTATACCTAAGCATAATATATTGTATGGAAATTCGATCATAATATAATACTATAGAGACAGGATCTGAACAACCGAGTCGAATAGAAATAAGCACATTATAATATACGAATATGAACTATACGATATTGTAGATCAGAGCCCTCGACTCCGTACAAAAAAATCATTTTCTCTAGTTTAGTAGGAGAATCAAACACCAAGAGCGTTAGTTGTTATATTTTGTGTTTTACCAAAGAAAGATAACATTGGTCTATATTCGATTTTCATGATAATATCGAGTATAGTTCCACAAGTTAGTCTCTAGGAGCATGGGGGTACCAAAACTACTTCTTCATCTGAGTCAGTCGTTAATTTTTGTGTGTGAATGTGCAATGAGCTACAAAAAAGCAGCAACTAAACTGAGGTAAATTTAACTACTATTAGATATACGAGTATTTCTTACTAGTGTCGTCGTCGTAATTTGTAAATTATTAATATGAATGTCAATATACATCAAGACCTGCAGAAAGAGACGTGAGTTTTGTCGTGGAATTCAGCAAAGAGAGATGGATAGGTTTCGTGATGGATGAAAGACTAAACTTCAGTGTCATGTTTCCAAATCAAGTAAACATGTCAGCTGTTTCAGTGAGTCAATTCTGCGACCATATCATACAATAGGACAAGAAGCTTTTATAACTGACGAGAAAAATAAAAGTTAAATTTTAACATTGTTTTAACTAACAGTAAATAACAACTTGAACAATGATAATGTTTTTTGAGTATCACTATCTATATAGTCTATATAGTTCGCAATATTTTAGGCAGTGCTGTATTTGGGAATTTCGCGCCCCAGAGAAGCATATTTCACGATAAATCATTGCTTAAGAAAAACCGATTCTGAGCGGAGTTCAGTTGATAATGATGCTTTGTCAACAATATATGTCATTTTATAGTAAAGTAGTTAAATAGGCTTTGTATTTTTTTTTTAATAATACTTGTTTAATGTTGTAGGAATTTTCCTAGTTTACTTACGTTTTTCCCGTTTTTCCTATGTTTTTATCGGTTTTTCAAACTTGATGAGAAAATTCCTGAGATAGTCCAAAAATTATTTTTTTAAAACACTTTCCTTTTGGAAACATTTCTATCATTAAAGGTTGGATCAAAATTATTGGTAGAAAAGTTGTGCACAGGAAAAAAAATCATAATATTTTAGTAATATATTTCGTACATATTCCCGTTCTTTTTTGGTTTTTCGCATTTGATGAGAAAACTCTTAAGAAAAAAAAAAATTAACCTTCTTAAAGTACTTCCCCATACTGATCTCCTTTCATATAAAGTGCTACACTTAAAAATCTAAGCAAGTGTTCAGGAAGAAAAGTTGCGCACAGATAAAAAAAAATAAAAATAAACATCTTCGTAAATTATGAGCTTTCTCGTTCTACTCAGAATTTAAAATAATTTAAGAAAAGAATGTATAATTTATTATTAAGTATTGAATTTTTTATTAATAATTCAAATCTATGTATCTAAATAAATTTATAACTTTCTCCTTGACTGAAGGTTTGAGAATTATGTTATTATTCATAAATAGTATTTTGATAATATAATTTAAATATATTGTTAATATTATTATCAGATAAATTGATGAAAACAATATACATTTTTGAACTGTAATAATTGTTTTTAATAGAAGGGTAAATAACAATTAAATTTACGTAAACTTCTTATTTTTTTTTATAAATTTAAAACACAACAATAATTTATCAATATAAATTTGCCGCCCCGGGCAACAAGGTACACTTACCCTCCTCCTCTAAATACATGCCTAATTTTAGGGGTGATAAACAATTGTCCGAAAATGATAAGAACCGTTTGCGATAACATACGGCACACGAAATAAAACCGAAGTTTAAGTTTATTCTTAGTACACTTTCATTCTTGCAGTAGTATCAGGTTGGAAATTTAACAATAATTTTATCTTATATGAAAAATAAATTTCGATTTATACAAAATATAAGTATAGTACATTGCAAAAAACTTACAAATAAAAATAATAAGTCAACGTGGAGGGGAAACTTTTTTTGACAATTCTGATGAAAGGAGATAAAGAACATAATAAACATTAATTGATAAATAAATGTATCGTTTTAGAATTGTTTAATTAGGTTGAAAAGCGATGAATGAACAACATCAAAATTATTTATTGAATTAGCAATAGACATTAAAATATGAGACGAAGATAAAAACATACATTTTTTGGAAATATTTGGTAAATAAAATTATGTTTTATTTCTAATATTAGGTAAATTTAAGACGTAAAATTAATTCAAGAAAATTGAAAACATTATTTATAATTTGTGAAAAAATTTCAGTGTTAGTAAATCATATCTTTTATCTAAAGTTGTAATTTCAAAAAAAACTATAACTAAAATTATACCCAGAATAAGGATTTGAATAAGAATAAGAATTGAAAATTGCATTGATAGTATAAACAAACGCAAACAATTGTTCTGATTTTTTGAGAGGCATAGCGACTGATATAAAAAGTTGTTTCGCCATATAAAACTTGTATATTTAAGTTTAAAACGTACAAGAGAAAAATATAACAATTTTAAAGTGTGATCATCGTGAAAATCTTTACATATCCGTTTGATTAACTTTAATTTAGATAATTTTTGATTTATTATAATAAAAACATATAAATTAAAAGAGCACTCCGAATTAAATATGCCACTTAAATCGTTAACCCTATTTATGGATGAACTGTTCAGAGAATAATAATAATAAATCGACATTTTGTTTAAAAAAAAATTAAATAGTTTTGCTTTGTTCTATGTTTAACAACATTTTATTATCACCAAATTACGCGTGGAGAATATTTAAGTCTCCCTGACAGAGAATTGGCTTAAACAATTTTAAATCATCTGGCAGTTACACTAATTTAGAGTATTTCAAATTATTGAGGGCATCATTTATGATAAAATAGAAATAATAAAGGCGATAAATGATCTCCCTGAAGAACACCAGATGAGACCCAAATATTTTCTGAAGTAAAATGTTCATATCGAACAATATGAATTCAGTTATTTAAAAATGAATTAAAATGAAAAATGATTATATTAGGTAAGCGACAAGACACCTATCCCTCCTGTGGTGAGTGAAGCGATAGGCATATCGAACCGTCCTTCACACTCCCAGCACTTTTATAGGTAGATATAATCTTATAGAAATTATGCTTTCGACTCGTTATTATATATCCTCATCATTTTCGGATAACTACTCCCTGGCCATATTTTAGTACTTTGATTGATTATTTACGAACAACTAAATCGAGATAATTGAATTGGCTCTCAAGAATTCACTGTTATAACTATTATTTCTATATAAATTCTATGTACGATCAGACTGTTTTAATAATCTCTTATTAAATAATATTATTTTACTACTTTGGGAACCAATTCAGTTACACATTTTTTAGAAGACAATTCAAAAGTTCAGTTTTATATTTACCCAAAGTTGAGAGCCAATTGAACGGTGCCTTGAGAGCCAATTGAACGGTGCCAAACTAAATAATGTTGCTCTTTTAGACAGGCACAGTTTTCCCGCGAACGAGTCAACGAAAATCATAATTACGAAAAAACATTCAATGTTATGGTTATGATGTATTTTTCAGTTTATAACATAACTAGTTGAAAATAATAATGTTTATAATAGAACTACCAACTTAATGTATGTTACATTTAACTTTTTTTATTTATTAGATACGTTTTAAAAACATTTGAATTTTTAGTTATGGTCAAAGGTAGATAAATAGCAAAAAAATCGGCAGGATATTTCGAACATTTTACAACGTTTTAAAAGGGTTAATATATTATGTATTCGGTGAACATTTTAGCTTTCTACAATTATTATTTAAGACTGAATTACAACAAAATATTAACATAAAACAAAAAAGAAATCGCTAATGAAATCCGTGGTTAAAAATGTGCCGTAAAAATTAAATTAATAACTTATAAAATCAAAAAACCAATTTTTTTTTTTTACTATATCGAGGACAATAATGATATAATCATACATATCATTATTATTTTTTTTTAATAAAGTGTCCCCGTGATTTATGATATTCTAAAATTAAAAAAAAGTCAATATAAAAAAATATATACATAATAAAAATCCGTGTTTTCGAGTTGAATAGAGTACCGAGTACCGACTAACCACGACGGATTTAACGATGTGATGATAATAATATTATTATTCTGGAAACATATATTTTGTATTCCTCGCAGCTGCAGTATCTACTCAATAACGGATTTCCTCCAGTATATTATACACCGAGTTATCATCTGATTTAGTTTAAAGTTGAAAACTTTACAAAAATAAACAAATATGTTAGTATTAAGAACTCTAAAAAAAAAGAGCTGATTCTGGGTGTGGCCACTGTAAGTGGGATACACAAAGTTATTTAATTTATACATGTAACCAATTTTGAACCATTATTGACAAAAAATAATTATTACGAAGTTTGGTTTTACAGGTTTTGAAAGGTCGTATTATTTAAGTTTTTCGTCAGAAATTTGATTTTAAAACTCTTATAAAAAAAAAGGAATACTATATAACATTTAATTTTTTATTGTTTTTTTTTTTTTTTTTTACCACAAGTTACAACTTATAATTAATCTTCTGTCAAATTTCCAAGCATTTCTATTTATTCTAACAATTTTATCCATAGAATACCTATCAAATAAAAATTACGTAAAAAACTTGCAATATTAAAATTTCTATAAAAAGCTCAAAAATAGCTCAAATGTTTTGAATATTTTACTTCGTTTAGAATAAACAAATATAATCAATTTTCCTTCAAATTGTCAAGTCTCTGGACTAAAGAACTATTCGATTGATTTATAACGATCTCAATATCAATCGATATTGATGTAATAGTATATCAGTAAAATCGTATACATATTACAATATTGAATTCCTGAAAAAACTATTGGTTGGCAATTATTTTTGCCTCAAAGTAGTTTAGCTTGCATGTAATTTCCTCTCTCTACTCTCTTTTAAAAACAGTTTATAGTTTTAAAATATATTTTGACACAACATAATTTATTTATTTATTTAATAATAATAAACAGGACGAGTCCAAAACAAATTTAAGTATTAATCTTAAAGCTAAAGTATGTAACAGTGTACATTATAAAACAATAATATAGTGATACACATTACATAAATAGGAACTGGTTTAGTCCCGAAACGACGGATCCTCTTTCGCTATTCTCACCATTCGTCATTCATCATTCTCATCATTCAGGACTGTTTCGCAAATAATTCACAGAACAAAAGAGGATATGAAACGGGAAGACATTACGAGAATTAAAAATCGGGATTATGAAATTAAAATTAAGCTTGTTTAGGAGACCAGGTGAGGCCATTTGATTACCACGGAGTTTTTACAAAAATAATAGGTTTGTTCGAACTCGCCTATCAGCCAGCGTAGCGAGTCCCAGGTGGTAAAGTACTCATGTCATGCGGTGGACAATCAATTGATAACCTGAAAGATACACACTTCAGAAACTTGCGTTGGACTCTTTCAAGTTTGTAGCTCTCACTCATGGTCGTTGGGCATTAAATTACAGTTTCATACACAAGTATAGAATGAACAAATTAACAAAAAAAAAAAAAGAACTAGATAGCTTAAAGTACATAGAAATTCTGAGCAAGAACCCTAGCATTTTCATTGCTTTACAAGATATTTTGTCTTTCTCTAAATGGTATACTCAAATCATTTACGGACTCACCTGCAGATCTGAGAAGGACACCAGATATAGAATAATTAAAAATGTTGGGGCGACTATAAGAACGGAAAAAAGTCATAAAAGTGCATTTAGGGATACAGAGATTTAACTCGTGGGTTATTACTCAAGTGACGAAGGAGTTGAGATCCTCTTGAAAAAGGATGCAATTCTGAATTGTCCTGATACGATGGAATAACTTTATATTATCGGCAAACATGAGTAGTTGGCAGTGTTTTAGGATACGTTCAACACTGTTTATAAATAAAGAGAAAAGAACCTAAAATAAATGCCCACCTCGAGGGACATCTGACGTTATATTCACCGGTGCAGACAAATACCGTTAATTTTTATATATTCTATTCTATTGGATAAGTACGAACTGAATCAAGATATCAGTGGCTCTCCAAAGCCTACTAATTTTAATATCATTATAAGTGCAGAGTGATTTACACAATCAAACGCTTTGACGAAATCTATATAAATCACATCAACTTGAGAGTGAACACGGAACACATTCATGATATACTTTGTGAAGATAGCATTATATATAATAATTGAGCGCTCCGACCTAAAACTATGTTGCTCATCAATTAAAATAGAACTAACTGGACGTTAGCTACTACTTAAAATAATGGATTCGACTAGCTTAGCTAAATAACTAATAAATAGACTAAATTAATAAATATTATAAATAAATAATAATAAATAAACTAATAGCAATCGGCATGTTGTTCGAGACATCTATACTGTCACCTGATTTAAAAATGGTGGGACTGAACTTATTTTCCAAACCTTATTTTAGACAACAGCAGGTTTGATACAGGTGGTATTATCATTTTCCTAATAATAATCTCATTTTATTAAGTCACACTTTTACAGTTTAGGAGACAATACAATTCTCATTATGATCCGATACGCGTATTATCAAATGTTATTCAAACAACAAAGTGCCTGTTTTGAGAATTTTATTCTATTGCAAGATCGTTTATTCACGATTTTATGACGTTATCTTTGAAAAGTACGAGTAAGCTGCCGTACAAAGATAATTTTTGCGCCTCGCAGACGCGATGACACAATCTTAAACGCGTTTAAGGTAAATCGATCATGAAAAACTCTGCAAAGCGATTTCAGAGGCAAAATACCTTTTAGAAAAATTAGGGGGAATGAAATTTTCTAAAAGCAACTATACCTATACTGAGTTTTGAAATAATATTTTATCAAAATATATGTTCGGAAAAAAATTACAGTAATATTTAACAAAAAAAAAATTTATCGTAAAACTTTTTTACGATATTTAGTTTTAAGAAGTTCGAGTTTTTATTATAAAGTCTATATTTGTCAACTAAGTATACTATTTATTCTAAATGGAAAACTGAAAATCACTCCGACACCGTCGCAAATTTATTTAAATAATTTCATATTTTTGAATTCATAATTTACTAGCTAAATTTACTTGAAACATAATGTCTTAATATAACTGCAGTAATCTTGTAAATCACACGTCATACAATTTAATAATCCAGATTCCCGAATAATTTGCATCGTTAGCGTGATGCGGTTTATTAATCTCACACTCGAATAGATTTGTCGTTTTGCCGCCATACTATGTTTAAACGTTATTATCTGTGATCAAGAGATCGTATTTAATAATATAATCTTATTATTATAATAAATTCTGGTCTACACGTTGACAGTTACGATCATGAAAGTTGGTGTTAAAGCTATCGTGACAGTTAGTAGGGATATAACACAGAGATCTTTATACGATATGTAATAGAAGAGTGCCAGTTTAGAAGACGTGCGGTAGTAGAATGATTTTCGATAGAAATTTCTGTGAAAGTATGACAGTCAGTGGCGCAATACTAAGATCTCGAAGACCCGATGATAAATTAAGTCTGGGGCCCTATAACTAAGTATTTGTAATAAATACACTTTTTTTTTAATACAGACTATTTATTATTAAACGCGCAACTTAATTTGTATTTATTATCAACGGAATAATAATATACGAGCATAAATTTTACACGGTTAAGTTATTATAATAATGAACAATAAAAAAATTATACAATATAAATTATTATAAAGAAATAACTTAAAAGAAATAAAAAACCACCAGTGAAAAAATAACCAAATGAAAGTATCAATTTTATTTGAAAAAAACTATCATGTGTTCATATAATATGTAACAAATATTACAAAAATTCGATATTTTTGTTCTGCCATGTAAATCTGGTTGAATTTATCATTCAAATAAGTACTTACAACAAATATCATCATTTTTCAATTGAAATTTTCAGATACAATTTCTAATTATAATGAATTATTATTATTATTCAAAAATCTTGTAATCTTTAGAATTTTGGACTGTTGTTCGAATTCGATAAGAAATCTATAATATATTTTAAAGTTTAGTGCTTCAAAACAGTATACGTATACTCGTGCTTTTAAGAAATATATTATACATAGCACAGAGACGACATAATAATATTTAAAAGCATAAAAATTAACATTCCGCATGTTAGTCGTCAATAATACCGTGTTCTAAATTGATTTTTACGTATAAATAAATAATTGTTCAATAATTATACGCAAATCATATGAAAAAAATATATATATATATTTTCCTGTTAGGAATATGATATTTTACAAACAATTTATTTGTTTGTTTAATTTAAACCATTTACATGAACATAATTTATATGTATTGTATACATGATGTATTCAAATGTATGTAAATAAAAAAATGCATAAACATTGTGATACCTTAAAATACCTTGTATCTATTTAATTGAATTAAAAACGGAATAATAATAATAATAATAATAATAATAATAATAATAATAGTATTTGGGTAAAGTTCAAGGATCTCTCATCTCCCAAAATTCTATCTGTAGAAAAATGTATTTATATTATGAAATAAAAATTATGACCGTATTTACAGGTCGTTAAAACAAATTTGGATCCCTTCTAAGTTTTTTCTGAGATACCCTCATGCATAAAGATAATATGCATGAGCATGCATAATATATATAAGACGATTCTAAACAAATAAAATATTATTAACAAATTTGTAATTTTTTTTTTTTTTGAGCAAGATTAATTTTATTACGTTTGATAATCGGAACATCAATTGATTCACAGATGAAATAATTATTTAAGAAAAATTATACTGATTGTTTAAGACTTCGAGAGCCGATGTGTAACAAACTTATTAAACTTGTATATTAACCTAACCTAACCGAAAAATAATATTTGCATTATTTTCCAAGGAGTCATTATCATATGTCTCCCTTCAATTATTCACCCCTTCCCCCAATGAGCGACCACACGATGATCATGTAAAATTAAAAGGTCATATAATATTTTAAAACGTTAGTTTAATTGATACCTATATGAAAATCACAATAATTTAATTTATTAGTATTCATTGTTAATTTAAATTTAAAAATTATGTATAATACAATAAATATATTAATTCCTAACTATATTTTATCTAAAAATCATAATAACCTATGTTTGAAAAGTAATATTTTTGTAACAATATATATATAAATAAAATAAACAATTTTTTTGTGCACTATAACTTAAAATGTGTCTATATAGTATTATTGGTATACATTCAGTTGCATTATTTAGTTTAAAAATGGATTTATGCATTTACTTTACAATTTGTTTAACATAAAAGATTCTCGTCTTTAGAAATGTAAATATTAAAAAAAAGTAATAATATATTATAAAGATATTATAATTCGTTTTCAGTCGATTTGAATTTCGTAGTTATTATATGTATATTTATTTTTTTTTACCAGTTTGTATTTATTAATATTTTTTCTCCATAATGATTTATTTCCATTCAAAGAGTATACCTCGGGGCTCGAATAATATATACAAATCGAATCCCCAGATAAAAATAAATAAATTAAAATATATATTTTCATGTTTAGTCGGTGAACGGTACCTATATTTATTAAGAGTTCAACGTAATACGTATTCGTACAACAAATCTTTAACAAACACGGAGTATTTTCCGTAAAGGACTTTCGTTGGAAAAACAATTTTTTGCAAATTTACTATTTATAATTCGCATTAATTGGTAAATTATTTATAATAAGATTAAAAAGAAACATACGAATTAAAAATACGATCTTTAAGAAAAAATTTACAGATACGGCAAAATCAAATTAACATAATCTTTATTACCTATTTTATAATTAATTATTATTTTAATCAACAAGATCGATAATTCTCTTAATTTACAAAATAAGAATATTTTAAATATCGATCTTTTTTTGAAAACGGACAACATCCACAGCTTTTAAATGGAAAACCGGTTTGAGACAAGGAGAAACATTATCACCAGAACTGTTTAATTTGACACTTGAAAAAGTTTAAAAAAAAAAACATTTATAGAAGCAAGATAGAAATATTCGAAGTAAACACACCTTGGCGTATGCACGTGTCATTCTGCGAGTAACTCAGAGTGAAATTGAACAAAAGACAAAGAGAATATTCAAAGCTACCCATAATATGGACCTATTAGATAATGAAGCTAGAACGAAGTATATGGTCAAGATATGTGATCCAAAACGTCTTACTAAAATTCGTATAAATTGCATTAATTTGAATATCTTGTTCCGCAGATAGTTCTGCGGAATTAATTAAACTAATTCATTATAAAAACATAATAATTTGTTTCTGTTGATTTACTTTTAATAAAACCGTGTTGACATTTAATAACAGTCCTAAAAGCAAATGAAAGGGATGGAACTAATCATTTTTTAAGGAGTTTAGGAAGCGATAACAGTTGAGAAATGGGCCTATAGTTTTTAACATAATTTTTATCACTTGATTTATAGACAGGGCTTATACAACTATATAGTAGGAACATTAATTAAGAGTAGCAAACATTTATAGCCCTGTTAATAACTTTATATAAATTTGAGATAACCTTAGAGATCACAATTTATCACCTAGTATAATAAACCAGTCAACCGAACATAAAAACGTATTCATAGTTACGTAATTGCTTTTAGAAAATTTGTGTACCAACGGCTTAGAGGAGACCAGATTTTGACTTTTGTAGTGAGGTCCATTAATTATAAAAAGATGGGTGAGCTTTATCCATAGGAACTAGAGAGAGGCTAAATGTAACTGATAGAAATGAATCAGTAATAAGGTCAAGAATAATATTTTTATAATTTTTTAGTAAGTTATGCTGAAAAAACTTCTTCCTTGATGGTTGAGATTTCTTTGTTAAGGTGTGAAGTATAAGGTGTATATTCTGAGACTTAGTGTCACAATCTTGCAATTCATGCATCGAATCAAAATTAACTGATTACGCTGAACAGGGTTACTATTAATATATCTCAATTTGACGGAATCTAGTTTCTTTTTTTAGTTCAGCATTTTCATTTTTTAGTAATAAAATAAACTCAGCCAGTTGTGCTATTCTAGACAAAATTGTATCAGATGTATTTTCTTGAGTAGTTAGTTCCATTTTTATTACTTATATATCCATATGTAAAGCTTCAAGGGTAAAATATCTTTGGAACAGTCCTCTAAATTTAAATTTTACACTCGAAGAAAATTCCGATTTAATAGGAGTTTTGTTTTGCATTATATCGTTATGGGCGGTAGTTTGATAAAAATTAATTGTATACCCTGAACGAAATCCCAAAAGTTCAACGGTATAAAATGTACAATAAACAGGTAAAAATATAAATATAATAACACTCACATGTGTAGCCCGACGGAGATAATAATAATGACGTCGGAAAAGGTCGCAGATAAGAGAGCGACGCGGTACGCACACGTTATAAGAGCACAAAGGACAATACTGTAATTATCGCGTGCCATGTATAAATGTATTTATTATTTTTCGTAATATTTTTTTATTTTGGACTTGATTTTTAAAAATCAATAAATAATTACCAATCAAAATTGTCGAAACATATTTATTTTTCACGATGGGGACGACATAATAAATATATTGTTAATACAAAAATTGTTTAATCCTAAAACAGTGGTTCTCAACCAGGGTGACATGTCATACTGAGGTACATATATGTACCGATATTTCGGTATACGGTTCCATACTCATACTGATTCTAATATCGCAATACCGGTATCTAATTTCAATACCGTTAACCTAAATTTACACAATGAAAGATTAGCCCCAATATACTTTTAGCTTGATTCATCATTGAGCTAACCATAACAATGTGCCATGTATGGATTTTAATCACCCCTTCCCTCTGTTAACTTTACCGGACTTCAATGTTATTTGAATTTAACTTAAAAAATCACTAACTGCTGTAGCCATCATGGCATCTAAGTATCATAAAGGTACCATCATATACACTTAGTTATATTTTAACAATGGTTCATCCCAAATCCTAGTAATAACGACGATATAGTGTTTCCATCGTTTTATCAATACTATTTACAATTACAATTCAGTTTACACTCAAACTTTATAGAGTTAAAAAACATTCTGAAGTCATATTATACTTAAATTACTTATTGATATTTACCTAGATCCCAATTCTTTCCGTGTAAACGGCGTTCGCTATCAGCAATCACGTACCAAATGCACGCGAACCAATGGGCGACCAACGTAAACAGGAGCATCAACAGAGTAAGGATCATACCGCCGTATTGCGAATATCTGTCGATCTTCTGCAGTAGCCTTGCCAACCTCAGCAGTCTAGTCAACTTTAACAGGTGCACTTGATGCCCACTCGAACCGGCGTCCTACGAAAGAAAAACAAAAATAGGGTCAACATAATTGTATTGCATAACGCATAATTGTCTGTAGGGAGAGAAAAGGGCTAAGAAATGCGTGACCCTATATAAATTCTTATAAATAAAATAAAATCACAATAACAGCATACAAAAATTAAATTATTTATGAATATGTCTAATATCTATGTTTGCTTGTTTTTATTGAACGTCTGTTAACATTTTAGATTCTGAGTGGAGCCAAGAAGCTTATGGTTTTACAAAGATGTTTATTTTTTTATAGCACCTTTTCTGAAATGAAATTAGAGAGGTACTATAAGGAGGTAATTTTTCAATTTTATCAGGACTATTCCTAGTAAATGTGAAAAACCGGGATAAAACATGTGAAAACTGGGGAAAAGTAGGAAAATTGGGAAAATCGGAACAACATTAAACAAATTTTATTAAAGAAAATAAATAAAGCCTATTTAATTATTTTACTATAAAATTACATAATTATTGTTGACAAAGCATCACTATAAATTGAACTTCGCTCAGAATCGATTTTCGTAGGCAATGGTTTATCGTTAAACATTAAATTATCTATAGCAGTGGCTGCACCCGTCCTCATTATCCTAGGACATCTTTTATTCACGTTACATCTTCAAATATAAACGTATAATACATTTTTTTTAATAAGTGCCCTCAAAATCTTAATGCAGATCTCGGTCACTTTTATATCATTATTCTGGCTCTAACTGAAACTTATAAATATTTTAATATTTATATTCACCCGAATATTACTGCAATTGCACACTTGTACCTTATATAAAACATTACTATCACAATATTAATAAATATTCAGAGTACGTCGTTGTTATATATTTGTATATTATTATACAGGTTCATTCACTAAGCGTGCTCATCCCATTGTTTTGGTTAAATTGTGAATACATTCAAATTATGATTTTTTGAATTTTTTAATTTTTCACAATATTTACGGAGTATCAGTAATCAAAAAATTTAACATCACAATTTATTTAAAGTAATACTTCATCTATTTATGGAACTATTGTGAAAAATCTACGTATTCAAAAATATCGACTTAAACTACAATTAAAAATTTCAAAAATTAGAATTTGAACATAGTATGCAAAATTTAACTAATAAAATGGGGTTATCAGAGTCATTCTGTATAATATGGTTGCTGTATACAGTGTATATAACAACTATAATTTACACGAAATTTTGTAATTAATCATAAACATACTACTAGATAGATACTAGACAAAATTCCATTCACGAAACGTTTTATGATTAACAATATCAGATGATATTTTATTATTTTTAAGCGAGCGTTTAACTACATTATGGTAAAACAAAAACAAATAATTGTAGTAATGTAACCAGGAAAAATGTCGAATGGGAAGAAGGAAGAATCTTGCGATCCTTTCATTCACATGAAAAAAACAAATTAAATATTAAATAATAAAATGACAACGGCGGCGCTATATACATTTTTTTGGTGAGTGTCCGTTATTTCGACTTGGGGGATTCTTGGTTTTTTTAAATTTCGTTTCAACAATGTTTTTTTACACGGTTTTGCCACTTTAAAACTCTTACACAATCTTTTAAAAATATTTTGCGTATTTTACGCGATTCCCGAACGTACGGTTTTCGTTTTCCAACTTTTCCGTCTTCCGAAAACGTGTTTCGCTCCATCTGTGTAAGACCAGCTGGTTGTTGTCCATCTATGGTTGTATGGTTCTATGTTGTCATTTATATTCGTACGAGCGGTACGGTAATATCGTCGCTATGGTTATACTACGTATTTACTCGCTTAATAATCGCGACTTATATACCCGTAAAACGTAGGTTAGGTAGTTGATACGCAGGTTAGGTAGTATAAGTGATTAAGGTCCCCGGTTCGATTCACGGCGGCGCCGTCGCCTTTGTGCGCTCCGTAAGAATAACCTGGCCGTCCGACCGGTCAATTTTTTTTTTTTTTTCGAATATTTTTTCATATATTTTTGCCCGACTTATATTTATTATTGTTATAATTATTATATTAAACGTTTTTTTATTTTTTCATACACAGTTTTTCTCTCACAGTTATTCACCATTTCGGACGGTTTTTCCGAACGTCTGAAAAACGGCTCAGTTTCCCGATTGTACATTTACATATATTAAACTTTAAATAAATTAAAATATTCAACGAATACAAAATTAGTTGTATTTGTTCATTCAATACCTATAATATATTATAATAATCTGTTTTTTATATTTTTCATATATTTATCGAAATATGGGCACGTCTAAAACCTGTACGCTTCAGGGATTTATACGATTAATCTATTATTTGTTTTACCGTTGTTTCGAAGGAAATGATAACACCACTGTATGCACAGATCTATACCTGTATATGTACTGTTATAATATCTACCTGAGATTTTCGTTTAACAACCGCGTACGATGATAACGCTGCCGTATAATAATCGCGTATTTATATATTTTTAACCTGTTTAAAACGGCTTCACAATAATATTTCTAATTGTTCAATTTATTTTTGTGTTTAATGGTCATATAGATATATTATAATTAAAAGTAATAATGCATGAAACAGTGTACTTAAGTGAATTTAAAAGACAGTATGGAAATATGTGACAATATTTTCACTTATTCTTACTTATCTAGAAAATATAGTACTTGACTCCTAAACAACGGTTAAACAATTTTTGGTATATAATATAGTATAATATATAATATAACTTCTTATTTAATGTATTTGTATAAATACGTAAAGAAGTCCTTATGTATTCAGAATACAGTACAATACATTAGTTAACAATTGGTTATTATTTATTTCATTGCTCCATTATCAAACCTCTGTTATTTTAACTACCTCTCCCAGCAGGTATTTACACATAATATAATAATATAAACATTTGAAGTTTAACAAATGTATACCTACGGTAATATGATTTCTATTAAGAGGTAACATACCGAATACCTATAATAATAGTAAATAAAAATAGCATTGTTAGGAATTTATTTTTTTTTTCTCTACAAGAATTCAGTGTATTGCCAACAAGGTTTATTGTTTTCATTATGTTTTTCAAATTTTTCAACACAATATTACAATAGTAAAAACTGATATCTAGACATTCACGTCATTCATATCTTAATTTCCCCTGTATTCTACCCGTTATACTATTAGGTATTTACATATTAAATTTAAAACCAACTAACAGGTACCTATAATGTAATATTTAATATAATAATATAACAATTCGGAAGTTTCACAACTGTATAGCTACGGTTGGATGGTTTATATTAAGTTATTAATTAATACACAAAAGTAGGAACTTACATAATATAATAATATAATATAAAAATGTTCAGTTATAAGTTGTTTTCTTGAACACAAAATACTGACATCTAGACGAGTTTTATTCCCGGTATATAAATATATATCATGTATGTATATATATACATATAGACGTTATACTGCATTCAGTCGTGATGAATTCAATCCCTCCATATTTAAATTTCTCCTGTATTACACCAGGTATACTGGCTGTAACCACATCCGAGAACACTAACATTAGACATTCCCGAATCCTTCTGTATTGCCACTCCTATATTTTAATTTCCTCTGTATTCAGCATTATCATGTATCATACATGTTATATTGCATCCAGTGCGCCGAAGGCAGATTGCCCACCCGCCAGCTGTATCCGCTACAGTCTCTTGTATCCTTGAACACTGTATCCTATATCACAGGAGTACCTGGGGCCTGGGAGTGGAGCCGTGGACCCTGTAAAAAACTGATGTCTAGACATTTTACCCGTTCCCGTATCTCAACTAACTTCTCCCGTATCAGTATGCCCTCAGTATCCTAAATGTGCTTTCCCTTCCCTTACGTCTTACCCGACAAACTTTGACCAGCATCTCGTTCTCCATAAGTTAACAAATTGATTATTGAAAAACCATATTATATTATGCATAACTACAAAGTGTGCCCGTGAAACTGGAAATTTAAAAACAACTATTAAAGAAATGTAATCGATACTGGCCCGATGCTCTTTATGTTACGTTTTTCATGTATAAGCGTTTAGTATAACGGTAGTTTTGTTTGCTGTAATTTGGTTATAAATTCACGTAGTGACTTGAAATTTGGTATTAATACTCATATTAGACTTACATAGACGTGGTAAAATTTCCAGAATCATCGGACGACATTTTTTTCCTTTTTTTAATTTTTTTACCATGGTACTAATTTTTTTTTACACTTTAGATCACTTTTATCCTAGTAAACTTACTCCGATGTATAATTGTAGCACCTTTTCTGAAAGTTAATTTTATCTACTTGGTAAATACATAGGTCATTTTTGATTTTCAAAACGGTATTTTAAATAAAAATGATTAACCGGGAAAAAAAATACGATTTTTTCACGATATTATTTTAAATAAATACCTACCATGTTTTCTAGCACAAATATGGCTCCAAATAAAAAAACAACAAGAGAGTATATTTTTGTAGGACTTCTTTTTTAATAAGCGTTTTGAAATCAAATTTAAACGAAAATCAAAAAAAAAAAATCACGGCAATTCAAATTATGTATTACCGAATTGCGCTCGGAATCGTCTTACGTCAGTAATTCTTTATTGTTGCTTGCAGATATAATTGAAATAAAATTATGTATCCTACCTTCCCAACTTCTCACCTACAACAGTGGCCGCTCCCATCCCCAGTATCAGCTCTTTTTATTTTTGCAAACAAACTGTAAAACAGGTATGCACATGTAGATGTATTACCGTTGTGAAAATAAATAAATAAATAAGAAAATGTAGATACAAGGTTTTTAAGAATATAATATACGAACCAAAGAAAAACACTGCATCGAACAAATATTTCAGGCACATATCAATGTGTATAACTAAGAAGTAAGCCCAACGAAGTTGACAAATATTTAAAAAGAAGGCAAAAACAAACTCGAATAATTCAGATTAGTCTTGTATTACAATAACAACAATAATAATATTTTACATTTTAATAGACGTTGACCTCACTTGCGAATCAGACGAGCACTCTTCTAAATATTCGTACTTATACATATATAATATCTTCATAAAACAATAATGTAATTTCGTTAATTAATTAATAATATATTATATATACCGTGCAGAATATGTTGTCGCGATCGATTGCATGATAACAATATTATTATTATGTTGATATATTATATATATTGCATCGGGTATAGGAAAATATTATTAAGTATTCGGAATACCGTAAAGAAACCATAAGGTAAACTAGTTCATTATTTGCGCTCTACATTACGATGGGGTTATTATACACACCTACGTACATATTCAGTGATTCTTTTATCGCGAACCGGCTACATTTATCTACATATAATATATATATATATATATATATAGGGTGTTAGGGTATTTTTAAATGATATTCTCTGTGTGTCCACTCCTCACTCCCTTAATAATGCTTCAAGGACAGACAGAAAGACCAATCCTTCTTAAATGTTGGACATTCCAAGGGCGAGCCACCCCTTCTCTTCCCCGTGAGGATATTTCCTATATTATAGAATATAATATTTTGTTGAACAATTTAATAACTCAATCATTTAACATTTACTTTATAATAGATACGCACCAAAATCACACACTACTAGATTTCCAATGGAATTTATTCAGTGTCAAAACACAGAGAATATCGATGAAAATTCCCCGCAGGTCCATCCTGTTTGATTTGGTATAGACGGATTAACTTTACAGAACGAACATTAAAGAAACTATTTCTTTAGGAAATAATACGTTGTACGTTGAAAATCTAAATACGAAACTAAAAATGTAATGAAATATCTTGGTGTACCTAAACCTATTATTTTTTTTCTTTGTTTTGATTTTCTATAATATATACCGTTAAAAAACATACCGATTTCAATACAAGGAGTACTATTGAATACCAACATTTTTGGAGTTTATCATAATATTTTATTGAACTATATATTTGAAAAAAAAAAAAAAATTCTATACCTATACATAACCGTTATCCGTGACAAGTGAGCGGTGAAAACCATTAAATTCAAATCCCGAAATGAAAAAAAAAGTTTAAAGTTCTATGTACTGTGTGTGAAGTGAGCGCTTATATTTAAATTTAAAAATCTCCTTTAAAACTTTTATTTATCCTTTAAACTTTAAAATTTTTGGACAAATTATCTATAAAATAGTAAAAACACTCATAAAAATCTAATTAAAAATTAGGAAAATTAAATAAAAAAAACAAAAAAACTTCCTTTTATAAAATATTATACGTAGTTTAAGTCTTAGAAGATTTTAGAATATTTTATATTATATACATATATATATTTTTTTAATTGTATAGGTACGATTATTCCGTTTACAATAGTTAAAAATTAATTATAACAAAGATTCTTTTAAAATGGTGGAATTGTAACAACACATTTTGGCGTGGGTAAACTGTTTTCGGGTAAATGAACAAGAAAAAAAAAAGGTAACAAATTAATTTGTGTTACTCAAATTTGTTTTAGTTTTATTATTATTATTATTACTGTTATTATTATAATTATGGGATCCCATATACGAATTGAAGTAGTGTGCACCTACTGAGCGGAACAGTACACCGGGAAAACTTTTAAATACATTACGGGGTTGAGTGAAAAAGGGTTGAGTGAATATTTACTTTGTGGTTGACGAAATTTATAAATGTAGAGAATCGCCATGTACAGTATGTTTCACTCGAATGGTATTACAAATTATTCCAGCCAAATGAATCGGGTTTTTTTTTTTTCAGAAATCTCAGGCACATTTTGAGATAATTGTAAAAATGTCATACATAGTGCATGCACATAGAAATTTGCATTTTCTTAAATAGAAACGTCTAATGGTAGTTTAAGTTTTATTGAACATAATAATGGTTAAGATGTCTAAAATTGGCTTAAAATGTGTGTATTTTTGTAGCTCCTCTTTTTTAAAAAAAATTAAATCCCCACTTTGATCCTTGTCTGTACGGCTGAAATAATATTTTTCGTGAGTAAAACACACAATAATAACATCAATAATCATAATGTATACATAACTATGGGGCACGGATTTCAGTAAAAGGTGAAATTTTTTTTTGGGTGGGCGGTGATTTAAGTAAATGTTTTCTAAGTACATAATTCAATTCATGTAACAGATACTTTTAACTAAAATGTTAGCATTTTCGGTCGTTTATCAGTTTTAAAAGCGCATTTATACATAATAGAATTATACTAATGAATTATTTAAAATTCAGTAATTAAAAATATTATTCCTTGAAATGTAGGTTTTAGATAATCTTCATCAACACAAATTTTCAATCGTTTTATTTACTATTTCTATGACGTCTTTATCAATTTTTTTATCAACGCCTGTAATAAATCACGTAGGATGAAACATATAACAATTACAAGAGTAAACATTTTGTTTTGTATCTATTTTTCACCGTTTTTTATATTTATAAAGGATTTTTTTTAGCATTTTATGATAATTATCCAATTTATTGTTATTTCGATAAAAGTCAATTTTTTCGGCTATTTTTTCGGAGCATTTTTGGACAGTTATTTAATAAAATATACCGCATAGAAAATGCACCACGATGCACTGCGGAGAACTCGATATTTAGATTTTAGTTATGTTTACGTAACAACGGAAAATGTGAAAAAAAAAATTATTATATTCCATACCTATCGTGGTTCATGATGTACACATATAGTATTGATTGCCGTATGCATTAAACATTACCATTTCCTTTTCGATTTCCCAACGCATGTGTATACATATATATATATATATATATATATATATATATATTTTGAATACGCATACATTATGGCCCAATGAAATATGAGAAATATCGTAAAGCATTTGGGTTTAATGTAGTTTAAAATTTTCAGTACGCGTATATGCATGAGTATATCTATTTCCATCAAATTCTATTTACGCTTTTCTTCGATACATAGCTATAGTATATATATAGGACTATTCGTTTTATTATCTCCGTTTTCGTTATCGTCCGTCGACCTAGTTGTAAATATTAAATAAGATTTCCGTTGAAATTTCGATACACGTCACACGATATAATATTATAATAATATAGGGAAAAATAGCGGTTTTATACAATATTTATTTTTAAGCTTGGAAATTCTATTCGACCACATTCTATAAAATATTATGAAGTTTACATAATATTAAATAACAATCTGTAGTGCGTCGTGTGGAAAACTCGTATATTTACGATAGTATAGGTACATGCTTAGCCCGTGTCTAAAATCTTAATATATCTAACCTATAAATGATATATTATTTTTTTTTTGGTTTTTTTAACGAAAAAAGAGCAGACACTTCTGGTGGGTGTACTACTGTTGTAGGTAAGAAGCTAGGAAGGTAGGATACATAGAGTTTCATACCTGTACGCAACGATAAATCGTTGCTCTCGAAGTACTATCCAGAGCGAATTATAGTTATTAGATATTTTGTGAAACATGGAACATCATATGGCTTGAAGGAAAGGGTTGATCTCACTTCATCTCATACAGGAACACGGTTGGCCTAAACCGAGGAAAATTTCACAAAAATTTGCGAAATCGGCCTATAGAAAATCGATGATGTATCTACCATAGAACATTGTAGGCTGTTCGGGAAAATTAGCCATCAAAAGACCGACAAACACTTAAAACAGCTGTTACAAAAAGGTTTGAAACAATTGTACCGAACTTCTCCAGTGAAATATTACAGTGAAGTAATAACTTGCCAAAAAAACTAGGAATAGATTACTCTAAACGAAACTACCTACAGAAATCGATATTACAAACAATTTGCTAGACACCACGCATTAGTCCGGTTACTTTTGGGTACCCCCTCGTGTATTATATTAATTATTATTCAAAATAAATAAATAATAAGAATAAAACAAATTATATCATCATACATTATTCTAATATACCATTTTTTTTATAATGTCTGTCAATCGAATATTTCGTTGAGATAGATTAACGGATTCGATTAGATAATATAATATAGTATTTTGTGTAAAACGGAAAAGAGTTCCTTCGAAGTGTTCCGTTAAATAAACTTTTTTTTTTTTGCCTCCGACGAAAAATTTAATTTATAAAACTGAAAGTCAAATACGTCTCATTCAGTCGAGATTTCTGAAGACCGCCGCGTCAATGGGTTACTGATAGACGTGGCGAATTATTTTCTTTTCTTTTTTATCTCGTAAATATACTGATTATTTTTTCAGAATAATTTAATGCTATTGCATTATGGTCGAATAAACAATTTACTTAAAGGTTGGTATTAAAAAAAAAAAAATTTGTTTGCAATCTTACTACTACTACGATAGTACTTCTTCATAGTATACTTCCAATCAAAAAACTGTATGAACAACAACACGTAAAATATGATATATATTATTTAACCATAAACATCAGTATAAAATGAATGTATACATTAGCCATACATATTATAGGTATTCATTTCAAAATGGTGTGTTTTATTCGATTAAAAAAAAAAAATGGAATGGCCATTATATGTATATTGAAGTCGAAAATCAGCGTTTATGATCATACGCGTAATTTTTTACCCTCAGCATTTAAAGAAATAATTTCTATTACATCATATAAATAAATAATTACTTTGGGTATTCATTTTGATGGTTCTGAAATGATTTATATGTAAATAAGTCATCGTTAAACCGAATTTACATTTTTTTTTAACAGCTGTATTTAATAAATAAACCTGACCCAAAATCACACATAATTTCGAATTAAAACTTATCTCGTTTAAAATAAATATAAAAAATCTGAAAAATCAACATAATAGTACTCGTATATTACATAATAATATTATGATAATTTTACGACAAGTAAATAAAAAATTAAAATCTATTATTTTTTATTCTTCAGACAATGCAGTATTTTATTTTATTTAAATTTTAAGTACAGTAATAATTAAGTAGAAAAAAAACAATTTGATTTTATTAAATTGTAATAATTTTAATATTCAGTCTTCAGATTTATTTAAATAACATGTATTATACCTATAACAAAAAAAAAAAGACCTGATACTGGGGTTGGGTATGGTCACTATTGTGAATGCATAGTCAAGAAGGTGGGATACATTAAGTTATTTAATTTAAACCTGTAACCAATGAGAGACCATTACTAACGACGCGAAGTTTGGTTATATGTTTCAAAAGGTCGTAATATTTACGATTTTCGTCAAAATTTAATTTTTAAAACTATTATGGAAAAAAAATACTATACATTACACTCAATTATTTTTTTGTCCACTAAGTACGAATTATAGTAGTCATAGTTTCAAGCATTTCTGTTATGTCTAAGAATTTTATCCACAGAGTACCATTTCTAACGAAAAATGATTCTGATCGGAGTTCTTTTATACATGATTTGTAAGATCGTAATGTGTATGGTTCTTAACAAAATTTTATCTTAAAAAAATTATGTACAAAAAAAAATAATAGAAAACTACTGTTTATTAAGAAAAAAAAACAACTTTCTAATTCATTAGCTGGGTTCAAAATGTAACAAAAAAAGATATCTTGAAATTGTTTCATTGATGTAATATTTATGGTAGAAAACAAAAACTGTACAAATTAAAAATAATGAAATCGGTAACGCCCCGGCGTGCCATAAATATTAATTCATTTTTTATATATTTTTTTTGTCAGTTTATCTCAATTATTTTGAAATTACATAAGAAATAAAAAAAAATGATCTCCTTTCCAATGCATTGACTAGATCCAAAATGCATTGGTAATCATGAACATGATCAAATCGATAATGTTTCATTTGAACTCGGCTAATTACAGCCACATAAGGCATAAATCCTGGAAAGCTATCGCGCTACCAGTCAAGAACAAAAGTCCACTGATGACATTTCCAAAGCGATATACAACTATGTATATTAGATAATACATTGAACACGAATATTTATTTCTGGTTTGATCAATGATCATATAACGTGTGTATTATTTCTCGCCTAGGCATTGACCCGTCCGAAATTCGTAAAGTTTTATGTGAAATTGTGCGTCAGCATAAATGACGGCGGATTCGATAGGGCACGCCTCGGTTCAGGAGTAGCATTTCAAACGATTTTGTTACTAAAATGTTTCGACAAGTTGACACAGTCGTGCACATCCGGTATTAACGATTTGAAAAACTATTAAATTATGATACTCGTATAATATCCTATTATAACCGTACTGAGATATTTTTTTTTCTCGGAAAACATTTGTTTGGCTAGTAAAAAAAATGCTTAAAATTATTTGCGTCTTACTGAAAGATATGTAGATTTAACGTACAGCGGTACTTTACTGAGACATATTTTCTAGATTCCAAACAGTTTTTTTTTTTTTTAACAATTTAAAATTAACAACAAATGTCGTTACGGTTGGAAACGATCGCAACTATATAATAAGGTACTATTACTTTATTTAGAGTTTATCAAGCTTTGATTGAAATTATTCAAAGGACAAGAAATATTTGTTTTTAGGCTTTTGCAATCACTCTGTTGAACATAAAGCCTGACAAATTTTTTCAACACGATACAGTACTACAATAAATATTAAGAGCATTTGAAATTTAAACCAAAATTAATTGTTTTCATTTTAATTTTATATTTTTTGTACGTTCTTATGTAAATAGATTTAAATGGCATTGCTACAAAACTAAAATGTTTGACTTCTATAATTATTGTCTTAATCTAAGTCCTAGAAAGAAAAGATAAACATAGTATAAAATTGTATCTCTTATTGAATCAAAATTATTAATATATTACAAATTGTTTTATTTTATAATATCATAACATAGACTGATCAAGAAAATCTAAACTAACGAAAATTGTTCCTTCGAATCGTTCGATTACAATTTAAAGCCCGGATTTATAACACATCTCGAATTTTCGGAATTGTTGTTAAAGTATGCGAACAAAACAAATATCAACGAATGCCATGTACTTAAATTAAAATATTTCTCATATTATTTTGCTTTTCTAAGAGCGTTATTCTGTTCAGGTTTAAAGTTTATCATTTTCAAAGTAGGCAGATGCCTATTTTGATGATGAAATAAATGTATTAACCATTTTTTTTTTTTTTTTTGGAGGAGGAGGTGCATTTTTGACTAATTTGTGTAGTTTTTAGGGCATTTGACCACTGCAAGTTGTTTTTTAATTAGGAAACCGATTGTTTAGATTAAATATTTTGTTCTAAAGATATTATAAAATATATAGCGTACCTTCGTATTTTTTAAAGTTGTCTAGTTTTTACGCTTTTTTACCAATAATAGGGGAGGTTGGGGTTAGTTATTAAACATATAATTTGTTATAGTTAAGAAATTTTGTATTTCTAATCATGGGAAAATTATATTGACTGGAAATATAAATTGTCTCATCATATCATTTATCAATTTTGTGATATTAATAAACATATTTTATCATTACAAAAAGTTATTCACATTATCCTGTTTTTCTTATTAAAACTAAATTTTAGAAAATTAATTCCTTTTTTTTTTATTGAAAAAGTGTTTTAAAATAAGACAAATTAATATTTAATTCTTTTTAAGCATATTGTAGAGTACCAAATTCTAGTGATACCTTTCAAATTTAGTAATTTATCATTATATGGAAATTCACTGATAACTCTTTAATTGCGTCTGAAGATCTGTTACTGTGCCAAACAAAAATGTGCCATTTTCAAAGTTAAATAGAATGATTGATGTTTGATTACGCAATTGTACTGTAGAACATGGTACTTTAATTAAATGGACTTCATTTACATTCTCTGCATGGAATATAAACAAACGCCAAGTTTTTGGAGTTAGGATTTATTTTTCCTCTGTAAACAATAGCTTTCCCTTTAAATAAATTTTAGAAAGCAGGTGGTTCGTGCCTTTGATATATTCTTTGTTTTGATATCTAGTTGTACAGTTAACAAGACGGCAGCGCCTTGATCATTTTGAGTTACACTTCGACCATGCCAATGCTAGCATGTACAGTGATTTCTACCTTAATTAACTATGCGGCGGGAAGGCAACTCGCGCAAAGTGTCTTTATCATAGTATGAGGTACCATGGTTAAAGTGAATACCACTTAAAACAAAATCAGGTTCTTGAGTTAACATTTCTAATTTGTCACCTGCATTTAATACATTTATTTTAATAGAACAATTAAGTCATGTATTATTTTCTCCATTTTTTTTGTTACGTTCTTTTTCGATAATTGTATAACTCTGCTATAATCTGGCTAATCTGCAAGTTGTTCAAGCACCGAAGATAAGTGAAATACTTTCATGTCGTAACCGGACGACAGCGAAGACGTGTAATCCAGTTGCATATCATTAATCGATACAGGTGCCTGCAAAACGATTCCATCGATTAGCCTTAGATCATGGCCTAGATGATTACCACCTAAAACCAAATCAGGTTCTAGAACTGACTGGTTATTTTTTTTTTGTTGAATTTGTGTTTTTATTGTTGCCATTGAATACATGGAACCGATTCATTATCAAACATCTTATTTTTATCCTTTGCAATCTTCCTGCTTCATTAGTGCAATTATTTGTTTGTACCGGAAGGCGTGTTTAATTTTCATCGCGAAAACTTCCAATATACCGCACTTGGTACGATTCTACCAATATCGAAAAATACATGGAAATATTAGTGGGACAAAACAGTATGTTGCACTATATATGTACCAAATTAGCAACACAGTTTGCTAGTAAGGGAATTCCAAGTGTCTTAAAGTGGATCCAGGTCGATTTTTTCGACAAAAAAATTATACTCTTTCCGACACACATTAATTTGAACCATTGGATTCTTATCAGTGAGGACATCTGGAACAACACCGTTTTTCAACAAAACGGCCTAGCTAAGTACCACTCCAAACCCAACAAATTAATAGCAAACTTTATGCGAAGTTAAGAAATGGAATGTGGGCTACAGCTTTCCATATGGGAGACAGAAAACCGCCAAACTTCCCACCAATAAAATATTTACGACTGTGGGCCATGAGTGCTACAGATGGCGGGATGCATACGTTCTGGCATAAATATTAATTTCGCACAGAAAGATATGAAGCTAATCCGAAAAATTCAAAAACTGGAAACTAAATATAAAACTATACAAATATTCAACACAAATTCACTAAGCAATATAAAAAAAAAAACTAAATAAAAATACAACACGAAAATTGAACGGTACCAAAATGAAAAAATAGAAGGAAATTCAAGTGAACAAAGTGAAAATACATCAAGACACAACAATCAAGATGAAGAACCTGGGATTTAAATACATTTTTCTCTCTCTATCTCTTTCTTCTTCTTTAAATGTACTCAAAACCATAACCACTTAAATTTTCTTCACTTTTTTTTTCTCTCTTAATCTTTCTTTTCTTTTTTCTATAAAAAAAAAAAAACACGAATTACACCATAAAATAAAATTATACTCTCTTTTTCTTTTCATATTTTCTTTCAAAAACTAACAATACTAACACATTTTTTCTTGTTGCATAACATAATGATTATTTGTATATTGTCTAACGTCTAATAACACTAACGCCATATGACGTCTATTAACCACATACAACCGTTTTTATTGCGCGATATAAAAAAATTCTGTGTGCAGTTTATAATGCAATTTAATTTTTTTCTCTTTTTGTATGATGATCACGGGGACATGATCACTTAAAAAAATTTGATTGCAATTTGTAATATATTAAATAACTACTATGTAAAATAAACGATCAAGATTACACAGCGCAATTACCAGTTCCTTTATTAAATACTAGTGTGGTGACATAAATATGGCATACGTTAATTCAAAATATTAATTAAACGTATTGCCCACATGGAGCCACTCATGTTGCTACTATAGTGAAGTGGGAGTCGTCGGCATGGAAGACCGCGGAAGGCATAAATATGCCATACGCATCACTAATTAAGTCACTCCTCTGGGTGTTCCCAGCAGAAGCAAACATTTTTTGCTCACTCTCTCCAACAATATCTTTATTTCCTAACCTATATAGAAGTTTCAAATACCGAAGGCGGGCTATTATATTTGGTTCTTCCTATCCTAAATACCTTATAATTGTGCTTGTTGTCATTATTTTTTTACCATAGATTGTGTTGTTTATTTCTTGAAATATATATATACATGCTGTTTCACGAAGATACCCCTTGAATATCTCCTGAAATAATAAAATAATCAAATTCTGTTTATTTTTTTGATTATTAATTACGGGGATAAAGTTTACGATTATTTATATTTAAATTAATTTTTTTTTTCTATCAAAATAATTTAAAAAATAACTTTTTATTTTATTATTTTCTGAAAATGTTAGTGTATCACACATTTATATTGGTTTTCACACGGATCAGAAGAATTTAAATAGCTTTTATTTAGAAACTATTCATCGGATTAAAATGTGTGCTCCATTAAAATTTTCAGAAAATAATAAAATAAAAAGTTATTTTTTAAGTTTTTAATAAAATAAAAAAATTAAATTTGAATATAAATATTTGTAGCCCTCATCTCTGTGAGTAATATATAAAAAAAAAAAACAGAATTTGATTATCTTTATTATCTCCGGAGATATTCAAGGGGTATATCTTAATGGGACAGCCTGTATAATATTTAAGAAAAAACAAATTATTTATCATACACGTGTTAGGGATATGGGTTGTAAGTCGATACCCCCAAAACTAAAAGGCCCATTCTTGACAATATAATAGCGTCATTCAAATACAGTATTTCATTCTCCTATTCATCTATAGTCCTAAATTGCTAACTAAATAACGTATTATACAGTATAATATTTAGTTCGAAGTATGTATTATCTATACTTCAGTATAAAATGTATAGTATATAACCCTTAATTTTATCCATATAACACTTAGTGCGAAAAACTTCCGCATTGACTTCTTTCCACCCAATTTACGTATAATACCTTCAACTATAAGTATTATGGCATAATATTTACACAATTAATGTCATACATTTTTATTTTTTTTCACGTGTTTTCATAGGGACACTATGTTATCCAGTTTAACTATAGAATATTGACATACCTAATATTAATTAAATAATTTACTTAGGTGCCTATTATTAATATCAAATATTATCTTTTTACTTTGAAATTTTTGTTAAAATTACCTACATAAATTGACACAAAAAATAGTTTGAGAAGTTTTAACAGAAATATTGGTCATTAAATTGTATTAAAATTACATAGAAAATAGCATACGTTTTGTACGATTTTATATATTTATATTAACCCTGCTTTATAATATTTTGTTACGATGTACGGTATCCATATGATTATTATTTTTTATTCTAATATATTATATACTGTTAAATGTCAACTGGTATCGATTTCAAAGTCGAGCGTATATATGCGCCTATACTATAAATTATTATTATTAAATATATTGCATCATGTTAAGGATAATCCTCGGCTTTAGGTAAAGTCGATCTTACCCAATTTAATAATTGGGAAATGAAATGTAAGACTACGACATACTTATACCTACTTCCTTTATCCGGGTTAGATAAAGCGTATATTTCGAATAAAATAAATCCCTAGTGAACAAAACATATGATATAATATCAGAATAATAATTCTCTTCCAATAGTTTAACACAATTATATTCGATATAAAGGTAGTCGAAATTTAGAAATCTAAATGTAGTACCTTATCGATGTGGGGAGCTAATTTTTCGATTTTTTCAAGAGTTTTTTCATTAAAATTTGAAAATTCGAAAAAAATAACCAGGGAAATATAAGAAATTTAGGTATTTATTTAAATATATGACGGCCTTTATTTTTTTTGTGCACTTTAGAGAGGTCATTTTTCGATTTTCTCACGAGTTTTCTCAACGAATGTGATAAACTGGGATAAAACGTGGGAAAACCAGGAAAAACGAAGGAAAACAGGAAAAATTGGTACAACATTAAACAAATATTATTAAGGAAAATATATAGAGCCTATTTAATTGTTTTATTATAATATGGCATACATTTTATTGACAAAGTATTAACTGAACTCCGCTCAGAATCGTTTTTTCGTAAGCAATGGTTTATTGGTCTCCATTATATTACTTTTTTATATTTTTTTTGTTATAAGCTCTAACATTAGAGACATTTGGAAATTCCGAATTTGTTTCATTTTTATTTGGTTTTATGTAGATACAATTGTTTAGTAAAACAGCATCATGATAGTAAAATAATAAGAGTAGGGTATTGTTATTAAAATCGAATGATAGTAGAATTCATATATTAATACAACGTCAGATATTTATATCCCCTAAAAATTACTCAAATATATATAAAAAAAATCTTCGAAAATTGTATTATATTGTTATAAATAATCTTTATACCAATGTTTTACATTTTTTTTATTAGATTATAATTTAAAGTATTTTCTAAAGACAAAATTGTATTAAATCGTATGTTATCGAAAGAAAAGTTCTATAATGTTGTGTGGTGTATTTATGGAAGGGGGGCAAAGGGACAATCACTTGACAATGCTCTATGCATACTATTTATAGTATATTATATATTTCATACTTATAAATTGTTTATTTAACATTAACAGCAAATGATAAATTTTTCTTTCTTATCGATGACACAAAAAAAAGTGATAACTGATAAGTTTTATCTATAATCGAATTTTTGGTACCTTCAATCAATCACTACTATTAGTTTTGTATAATTTAAAATCAAATAAAAATACATTTTTGGTTAGCAAATTTAACTTTAACAAAATATGTAAATAATATAAAATCAATAACAATCACACTTTTTAAGTGTTTATAGAAAATATAAGTATTAAACTATGAAAGACATCCCCTCAACCCTAAAATTCGGGCTACGCCACTACATCCTAATATTTCCAAATCACAAACAATTATTATATAATTTTACATTTGTTGAGTATAAAATGTCTTTGAAATGTATGAAATCCTTAAATAAAAAAAAAAAAAGTGTAAAAGCCTAAAATATGCACCAAAAATGCCGATACACATGCAAACTACAATAATGTTGACTGTGACATAAATTACTGAGTACATTTTTTACTTATTAATAAAAATATGCAAAAGCATTATATAAACACTCACAGTTTTCCGATAGTAACTGTCGTAAATGATAGTTGTTTTTACTAATGTATGACAAATAACAATATTACAGTATATACCTATCCGATGGATATAACCATGATAATCAGAATACCGCATTTCAATTTACGGCTTATCAGGGTGAGATATTTAATGATACATACAAGATGGAACACTCTGTGTAAGATAACATAATATTATTATAATCGACAAGTAGCTAATATTATTCCGTAGCATATTATATTACAATATTATAACTGGTGCACGGGCGAGAAATATTTAACCGACCGCGGATTATGACGACGATCATAGAGAACAAAATATCGTAAAATAGGTACCTATAATATTTATCTTTAGTGAAACAATAATTTATGTAAATTTCACATTATCCCTGATAATGCTGCAGTCGGCCGTGCCCGCGAAATCGATATTAACCTAACAAAATTATACGTACATATTATATTCATTGAACATTCCGCGAGGATTTGCTATATATTTTCAGAGTGATACTTACCTAGGGACACTACATTTACCTAGGAGAGAGTGATAAATATGGGTGTTACTGTACGGGCTAGATAATTTCAATTGAAATAACTAACGAGAAAAAAAAATAACTTAATTAAATATGTATATTTAAATGTACGAGGACCTGTGTGTAATACAATAATTATCAAAGATATTATTATATTATACAAAGCTAATTTTTTTTTTTTACGAGCACATCATTATTTTATTCACGTCATCGATTATGTATTTGTGTAGATTTTTTTTTCGAATTTCTACTTGTCTATTTTTTAGGTTCAATTTCTACCGTGTCACTGAGAAGGTGGCCTTGTATGATATATACGGTTTAAATTCGGAAACACCGAAATCTTCAGACACAATATTAATATATTATATCATCGCCTAAGATAAGAATATCTCAGGCGAGAACTGGTTTATTTAAAACTAATATCTTATTTCGTATTTATTAATCGATTAAATGGGGGGTTTTTTTTTTAATAGAAAACACAATAATTTTATTAAAACTCACGATATAATACAAGGTTTAAACACTGAAATACCCATAGTTTTATAAAACATTCTTGATAATTATGAAAAATATTCTAAACGGTTCTCCTCAACATTTTAAATAAGAAAGTGCATGCCAACACAATTTGACTAAACATGAGATGTCGGGCGTTGCATCTTAAACGACGATATATGACTTAAACCTGGCAGTGTAGTATCTATCATATAATTAGACGTGTGTTCGATCAAACATAATTTCCGTCTAAAGGTCTTAAAATACCGATTATCAATTAACTCGAAAATACCTATCTATAGAAGCACACCAGATTTCACGAAAATCGTGGTATATAGCAAAATCCACCGCTATGGGATTCTGTTCTCCGCTATAATTCTTCCCAAAAGTCTGATGTCTGCTCTAAAATGTAATTAGTCGACAGAACTACTATACAACTTTATCAATTACCACAAATGTTCGATATAATTATTATTCATTCTAATCCTCAATTAAGACTAAATCGTCGAGTGGTTGTCTTTATCTTACTCCCGTCAACCGTATATGTTATACCATTACGGCTAGCAGCCAAATACGACGTTCGTATTGGTTATCATTATTTGCTATACAAATGCCGATAGGTTAGTTCCGGTAATCACCAGCATATAACAGCCTTTACCAGTCATTCTCAAAGCAACTTTCAAAGAGAATAGCCTACAACTAATAGGCCTGAAAACATGAATTACGGAGTACCCAAAAGGGTTATACTGATTACTATTATTTTCACAATAAATCGTGAACCTTATATTATTACACAAAACTCTTATAATAATCTATATTTTATTAATTTTTTTACAAAATATAATTACAATTACTGGAATAATGTTAGAATATCGATTATGGATATCATATGAAAATAAAACTCCTGTAATTCGCCATATTTAAATTAAGAAAATGCTGTTGATTTGTAAAAAAGCAACTAAAGTGTAAATGATCTAAAAAAAAAAACTATGAGTATGCACCTATATAAAATAATAATAAACTGAAATAAATAGGGGTAATTATATGTTTGCCTTTTTCATTTTTACAATACTCAAATTTATATATTTGTTACATTTGAAAATAATTTGTAGTATGATATATGTGCACTATATCTATTAATATTAATTAAAATAACTAGAATACTGAGAAAAATTTTTAATCGCAATTGTTCAATTTGTTTGTAGGTACTTAATGAGTAAACTACCTGGTCACGTAATTAAAAAAGTCAGATAGAAACACTACAGTCAGTGTCGTATTGTATTATTACAGCATCGGCCATTCAGTTATTTATCGTTTGACAAAGAATATTTCTACAATATAAAATATGTGTGGAGATAAGGGATTAGGTCAATTCGATTATGCTCCGTTTTATTTAAATTATAATAGAATGCCCGAAATCTTGTTATTAAAATAATAAAGCGTATATTCGAATAATTTGTAAATTCATTTTTTTAATATCCCACTCTACATTACAATCGACACACACACACACACACACACACATACACATGCGCGTACACATAATCCACATAATATATTATGTGCAGTTTTACTAAAAGAAATTAAATCGTGTGTGCAAAGAACAATGATTTATCGACGGTTAATGTTCCGTCGTCGTTTCTGGCCGCACACATTCGCGAGAGCGCGCGCGCGCGTATCTACATCGATAACAAATTAGATTTCTTTTCGGCTTTTATATACTCGTATACTATTATACTCAGATCGCATTATATTTTTCAACGTCGTAAAAGTATAGTATAGGTATACGTATACGTTGGAACCCAAAAACAAAACATTTTTTCGTCAGTCGTGATTATTTGAACGGGCAACTGCCAGTAAGAGGGGATGGTGGTGAGGGGAGACCCTATGCAAAAAGAAGTTAGGGTAAAGAGCAAGGAGTAAAAGAAAAAAAAATCAAGTAGTAATTTTGTTTTATACATAAATATATTTAAATTCTAGACGAAACCTCTGTTAATATAAAAAAAACATTTTTTTTTAGTTTTATAAAATAAAAAAACAATTTTAAAAAAAAAATACTGCTATATTTCCCATTTCCCTCTTTCCTTGTTGTTTTTTTCCTAACCCGGGGCAACAAATTGTTGCCAGTGAAGAGGATTTTTCGTTTTATATTCTCTATTCTATATTCTATTCTATTCTATTCTATTCTATTTTCTCTTTCACATAACCGCAACCTGTTTTTTCGAAAAGTTTTCCGCTATCGTCTGTTTCTTATTTTCTCCCTCTTTCTCTCTCTCTCTCTCTCTAGTATATTATACTCTCTATATTGTCGAAGCGTGCGAGTGTTGTACGAGTTCTCACGTCGTGTTTAGAGGTAAATTGACTGTAAACTACCGGCGTGTTTAGGGCGTACACTATACGCGGTTCACGAAGATAGTTCGCAAAGATCGTAAATTTGTCTCTAAGTGTAACCTATATACTCGTATATATACTTTAAGGGTAAAGTATTACGGCCGTTGCCACAACACTACCGCTTTTCTTCCTCTCCCCCCTCGACAAATACAACTATACCGACTACACAGGATGTATATAATATATATTATAGGTGTACTCACGTCTCCGCTGTAAACGTCGGAAGCGTACAACAGGTCGAACGGCAACGCAGCGAATAAATCCACCACGAACCAACTCTTCAAGTAATTGAAGGCGATCGTTTTGGAATCGGACACTACTTCACCCTTTTTGTTCACGAACGTCGTCCGGAAATTGAATAGTATGTCTGTATGAAAAACAAAACGTCACTATGCTTAAGTTAATAATATATTATATTGTGGGTTAGGTTAGGTTAGATAAGGTATTACAATGAGAATTATTATGAAAAAAATAATACAAAATACAAAATAATATGCTTCAAAGTTTAAATTGGAAAAAAATAAGTTTTCAGGGATAGGAGCAAATGGCCTCCGGTAACCCGGGCTACACAACTAGGATGTATGCAATCATCAGCAGAACATTCCTTAAGGAAACACAATATGGAAAACCAGGAAAATGTATACTTTTATGTGTTTTTTTTTTTACATGTATATTTCATGTACGGCTCAATATTACATCAGTAACGTAAGCAGAAACATAATGTTATATAAACGCGCTGTGCACATCGCGCATTGTATGCTATAATAAAAACATTAAAAACATTTGTTTTGCTGTTTCGTCCTTAAAGCCGATTTACATATTAAATTTATAAAGTGTCCGCGATCCGGACGTCCGCTAGTATATAATTTGTATTTGTACGAACCCTGGGAATAATAATATTATATTTCGTATCCAGTCCATTATGCACAGTAATGACGCGCGTTTACGGAGAACCAAAATGAATTTTAGAACGTACACCGAGTGTAATAATATAATTATTACTCGTTGAACCAATTCTCGATCAATCGATGAAATTGACATTGGAGTCAAACAATTACTAACTAATTACAAATAATATCTAATTTGATTAGGTTAATTGTAAATTCCTCAATTTCTTATGAAATCAATATTTTTTGAGGGAGGAAACTTTACGCCCTCCCCTAAATCTACCCAAACGGTCTCAGAATACCATAAAAAAGTTTCAAAATGTGTTTCCTTAATTACAAATAATTTCAGTATTTATTTGAAATTTTACAAATATTTACATTATATACAACAGGTTATAGCATTGGCTATTATAATTAATAATAAAAAAATTCTGATAATTCTAAATAGAAAATCTGCACCTATTTTGTAGAGCATGACAAAATCTGAAAATTTTAACTAAACAAAATTGTTTTTTGAAAGAAAAAAAAGAAGATTCAATAACATTATTTAAAATGTTAAATATAAAAACGTTATAAAAATGTTTCTTGTTATAAACATACTAAACTAGCTTATTTAAACCGACTATGTTCATTTAAAAAAAAAGTCATGAACACTTTAACTATAATTTTATAAGTTAGCTTAGGAACAAAAGGAAGTTAAAAACATACAAATATGCTAAAAAAAACTACCACATGTGCAATAAAATGTACTTTAATAAAATGTGTTTGTTGAAATATTTTTTTTGTTTCAATTCAATTTCATTTCATATTAAATATAAACACCATGAATAATATTCATATTCGATTTTTCTATTTTTAATAATAATAATAATAAAAAAAAAATGCAATTGCTAGAATAGTCTAGTAAAATAAAAATAATAATGTTGTTGTATTATCTCCCTTTATTAAAAGAGAAATATTCCGAAAAAAAGTACTCGAATTTTAAGCACATAATAATTATAATCAATATTGTGTCTATAAAATTTGTTTTTATTATTTCATATTATTATAATGCCTATATAAGTACTTGTAAAAATTATGAATTATTAATTATTAGAGCCAATTTTAGAACACGGTGTACATTATGAAAATGTTTGAAAAATTTTAAATAATGGTAACTCGTTTTTAATTTATTTGAAATTCATTTTAAATTTGTTGGTAGTATTCCAATACTATGTACGGTAGTATTCGATGTGCATTCAATCTGGCAATATTAGTAGAAAAGGTGCGAGGAGTTGACCCATCAAAAAATAAATTGATTTTACGAGTAATTGTAGAATTAGCCAAACAAAATTTGCTATTAGTAGCAAGTGTTTGATATCAATCTTAATAAAATCGTCTGTGACAGAAGGGGAGAACCAAATTCACGTGCATTGTGTAACACCGATGATTTTATCGATGTCAGCATAATCTCGTCACTCGACAGTCTTTTCGTAAAATTGCCTTCTTTGGACGATTTATACTTGTGAAAATTCCGCATCTTTTAAGGTACCTATACTGCCTGAACAATTGGATAACTTTTACTACCTACCGAAAGAGTGTTTTCCTAGAAAAAAAAAAGAATCTTAGTAAAACTATAATAAATATATTGTAGTTTCTTCGCTACACTCAGAATTTAAAATGCTAACAAATCTACTTGCATAAAAATGTCGATCAAACAAAAGAAGCTGCTGACGCGGGGCCAATAAAAAGCTATGAAAATTAACAATACGTCTAAAATGGCCAATAACATTTTTATTATACTATTATGTACATAAGTAAAAATTTAAATATTCTCAAGAATTATTTTTATTCAAAACCTTATATACAGGAATCTTATTGTTATTAATAATATTATTCTGCGTGAATTCAATTAGTTTACACGAGGAAGAGAGAGAGAAAGAGAGAGAAAATCAAATCTTTTGTTACGCGACTTTTCATTGTTACACAATATTTTTATGTGGGTACGATATTTTTTATTATATTAATACAAAATAATTGTTTACCACCAAGTCCTCTGACCTCATTCGTTTAACACGAAAATTTAAATTTTTCAGAATACATTTTATAGTTAGGTATTGTATACCCAATAATATAACAGTATGTTTGAATTACATTTACTTAGAGCGCCTAGTATTATAATAATACTAGTGATTGTGATGGCCAACCGAATAATGCATATTTTGATTGGTTCACCTGTTATCTTATATTCACGGACTGTTATTTCGTATAAAATATAATATATAATATCTATTATCATCAATAGAATATTATACAATTTAAATGCATAATTCGTTTGAATTATGCGTTCATAAATTTATTTCCTAACACTGCAGAAAAAATATAAGATTGGAAAAGTGAACATTTTTCATAGTAAAATGGACTCCTCAAAGATGTATGTCTAAGGCTATAGACTTGTAGGGCTTTATCTGGCCCTGATAACCGTATAGAGAAACAAATAAGGTCGAAAGAAAAAAAAACTCTTATCGCGTTATACTATTCATTTTGAGTTTCCTAATCGTAATGACATTATATTTATATAGGTAGGTCCTGGCAATAATCCTTTTTTTTTTGTTCTATTCTATTTTGCCATTATTTATTTGTTTCACCGCCTTGCACGGCTGTCCGTCGCTGTAGATGTCCGACACGCTTAGGTATTATTATTTTTAGTTTTTTGTCCACGACCAAACGTCCCCTTACCCCTAGACACGTAGTCAGATAAACGGCCCACATCGCCGTTTCGGTGTTTTTTTACACCCCTTTTACCGCACCTGTCTAGAACTTGTACGCGTTGTTTATACTTAAACCGACAACCCCGAGTGCCTAACCAAACGAATGTTATCGCAAAACTCAGTCACGTCCGTTATCGCAACGGAGAATAATATTATAATGATCGATAAAAATGTTATTTTTATATTTTTACAAACCAGCCGTTTTCTCAGACGATTTTCCGCATATCGCTATCGCACGTGGTCACGTAAAAGGAGACTAGATGATTTTAAAATTTAAATAGTTTTATACTTAAACTTTGATTTAATTTTACTTCAATTTTAATCAAGAATTATGATGTGATAAGCGGTCCCTTAAACATTTTTTCGAACATATATAAAGGGATAAAATAAGACATTTAAACGTCATGTGTTATGTAAGGCAACGTTTTCACTTAATTGATGGTAATTTTACTCCCTTTATACATTACGGCGACGATACAGTACTTTGGAACTAGTTAGTGCGTTTGGTTGAGGAGATCATGTTTTAATTTTCCAAACATGTTTTCATAATAATTGTGAAAAACCAGGAAATAACGTAGGAGAACAAGGGTTCATATTTTCGATTTTTTTTCTTTTGTAACTTAGTTAAAAATAATCTTGGAGACTTTTTATTTTAAACATTGATATTTTATAGTAATTAATAAGTATTTAATATTTATTATTTAAGGTTTTTGTTTTAGTTTGTATTTGGTGTTATGTGGATAGTATTGTTTTGCCCGAGAAAAAATGTTTGAAAACTTTACACATGTTCTATTATAAATTATATATGATAGTTAATATAAAACCGTGCATAGAGTATATGTTTTTATTATAACTGAGTTCAAATTTTGACGAAAATTTTAAAAAACTCGGTAATTTAAAACATGTTTAACCGAACTTCACTTAGAAATGTATTTTGTTGGCAATGATTTATCATTGCGCTCAGATATAAATTAAAGAACTTTTTGTATCCAACATTCTTAACTCATCAGCAGTATCAGTTTTTTTATATCTGAATTTTAAATATAATTAGTTTAATGGCATGTTTTTGCCAACAAATATTTAGCCAAATAAGTACGATTGGTTTTAACTGGATTTTTCGATGTGGAATAATTTTTTTGAAATGTCGATGTATCTGAATCATTCGATTACTATATTCGTTAATTTATTAGCATTTAAAGTTTGTGTACCTACGCAGTGACTGGGGAATTATTTTTTAACACCCTTGTACAACTCCGCGGACTATTCCAAACTCCATAAACGGTAATCAATAATAAACTTTCAGTTCAACTTATTCCATGTAATATATAATTATTTTATTCATCGACATTTTCAGAAAATTATTCACGTCGGTTGTAAAGCGCACTTCATCGAAATCGTAATATTTTAGGTGAACGAAGCACCTTTACTAATTTACAGAAATTTAAGATTAACTCATATTTGTATGAAGTAGAATGCACGTGACACCATGGAAGATACAAGGGAAGCACTAGATTGGCCGCTCTCCTTGGATCATTTTTTTAATGTAATTATAATATTAATTATTGTTAATACAATATACATTTTTTTAAATCTACTTTCTTTTTGAACGTAAATATTTTGTATTATTGTCAAAATACATTTTCATTTTTTTCCCTCACTAATTTAAACTTACCACAAAAATTTTAATAAAACCAAATAAAATCAGTTATAACTGAAAAATAAACAGAATGATTTGTATTAAATCGTAAAAAAATGTTTACGATTTAATTACGATTTACGATTTATGATTTTTATTTTTTAAATTTTCTACGATTATTTTTCACTTCAAATAAAATAGAATATAATAGAATTTCTGTAGAAATGTAACAGTTAAAATTTTTGGGGAGACATTTTTTTTAAGCTTTTCTCCAAAGTTAAGAATACTTAAAAGAAAATCAGATTCATAACTTCCCCATTGCACCAATGAAACAGTTATTTTATTAGATTTACCATCACCTCTAAAGTTGATGATCGGACATTTGAAGCAAGATTTCTAGTTGAAAAACGATTTATATACAGAAAAAAAAACAAAAATCATGGTGGAATCATATAATATAGTATAGTAATGTAGTTATTGTCACCATAGAAAACTAAAATAAATATTATGTAAGCAAAAAGTTAATCTACAATAAGTTATGTTATTAGTGTTTGTTTTCGGAAATTATCAATTACTGAATTATGTTTAAAAGTTGATGTGAGCGTTAAACGGGGAAAGTCTTTCACGGGTTAGGTTGAGTTCAATAATTGCCAATAACACTAATGTTTTTTATGTTTTATGGTTCCTTCTTTTATTTTTCCGATTCGAGTACTGCTGATTAGAGTATTATATCGGTAAATATTATATCGATTAATAATATTTAAATTTGAATACTAATTTAAACGACCTAGGAATAAAGGAATCTTCTTTATTTTGTTGTCTATAGTACAAGAGTTTCATTAATTTTCTTTTTAATTTAAATTCTGAGTGTAACGAAGAAACTAACTGTATTAGTTTTACTTAGATAGTTTTTTCCATGAAAAACTCTTTTTCGATTTGTAAAAATGATTCGATATAAAAGCAGTACCATAAAAAATGTGAGTTTCTCGCCTAGAGGTACATTATTTGAAATACTTTTCTACAATCTCGAAAAAGTTAAAAAAAAAAAAAAAAAAAGGAAGATACCGATAACAAATGACAATACATCAATTTTAATTTTGTTGATTGATTCCTGGATTAAGTACTTATACAACCTATGTATGTATAGAAAAAAAAACACACTTTGTTCTGTGCCGATTTTAGTAGCACGAAATAGTTAATTGAATAAATAGAAATTTGGTTTGTAGTTTAAGAATAGATGGTTTTATTACAATTTATTTAAGTCAAATTCAATTTAACTACAAATTATAGCCAAGTTCTATAATAATACGAGTGGTGTTACATCCAGCGAGAAGGTGATTGTTAAAACCTAGGTCAGACATGTCTATCGAGGGCCTGTTCCAGGTTCCATTTTATATGACTTGTGACCGACTGACTTTGAGTGATTTTATAATTCACAGGGTTCATCTAGAATTAGGTTTATCATCAGGGTCAATCAAGCATCATGCGATTATTTGCGTGTGCACCATGTTAATAAAACGCCCGTGTTTTTCGACACTATTATAATTCCATAAGATTATATACTATACTATTATATAACATTATTATAATAACATTGATTTATAATACTCATATCAGTAGGTATATGGTTTATCCGTGGGGTACGTGATCGACAGACTTTGAGTGACTGTAATTCACCGGATTTACCTAGAATTATGTTTATCATCCGGATCAATCAAACATCGCGTGATTGTCTGCGTGTAATTTAGATTTGGAAACGTAGCGAAAGATCTTGTTCAAGAAATTGGTTTTTTTTAACGTAATTCAGTTAAAAATATTCATAAAGACTTAAATTTTGACAAAAGCCTATAGATATTTGATTTTTTTAGATGTGGTAACATTTTTAAAATATTTGAGCCATTTTTGAGCTATTTATAGACATTTTAATTTCGCGAGTTTTTTTTACGTGATTTTTATTTGGTATATAATCCAAGGATAAAATTGCTTGACTAAACAAAAATGCTTGAATATTTGATAGGAAGTTCATTATAAGTTATACTCAGTGTTCAATAAGAAAAAGTTGAGTTTAATGTAGTTTTTTTTTATTATAAGAATTTCAATATCAAATTATGATAAAAATCGTAAATATTATGG